TAATTTTAAGATTTCACTGTTAATCTCATCTATTGTAATACTTCCTCACTGCGCCTGCAGAACAGCTTTCATTTTCGTAGGTGATGTGATATTTTCTTCTCCTCACTAGCGAAGAATTGTAGACTTCATTAAGCTCCATATGTCCTCAATCGGGTTGAAGTCTGGTGAGTTTAATGGCCCAGCAATTTTGGGAATGTTTTCATTTTCTTGCTCATAATTAGTGAAGTCTGAATCGTGCAATAAGGCATTATCTTCTATTAACTAGACATTAGGGTATACTTCCCTTCTCTACTTACAGGCTGGCCATAAAATTGTCCAGCAGAGATGAGTAACATACCTCTACGAATCTACCCCATTACCCTCCTCCACCTTTATTAGCTTAAAAGTAAACTTTTTTCCCAGAAACGATTGTATCCTCTTAACTGTTTGTCCAGCTGACTTAGTGGCCGTACACATTTCAGCCACCACATGCAGTTCCCAATCTTGCAACCTCCTCTACTCCTCCAACTGTTTCCACTCAGAATTCAGCCTATCCATTTCCTCCTGCATCTTTTTATTTATATTGGCAATTTTCTCCTTTGACTTTTTCTTCTCCTCCTATATAACCACTGGCCATATAAAGAACAGGCCTTTCCAACCCCATCCAATAGCCTCATAGCATATTACTGAGATGTTATTCTTTTTTTTAGCACTGCCGCAGTCATCATGCCAGTTTTTATTTTATTTTCACCAGACAAGAGAAAGCCCAAAGACAGTCCTAACCACTATAAACCTTTTATCTGTAAACATGTAGTTTGCTCATTCAACCACCAGATGCCAGGTAGCCCTCTCCTATCGGTAGTTCCATAGTATTTCAAGTTAGCCAAAAATTTCCTTTCTCTCCTATTTTTTAATACCATAGGAACTCAAATAATTGAATCTCATGCTAATACATCCAAAATTCTCTTTGTTAGAGAAGTGGACGAGTACACAGCAATATGAAACACGTGTAGCTTAAGCCACATACAAAAGAAAAAAAATTTACTAAACCTGACTAGCAATGGCAAGTGGAATGTCCATGTACGAGGTTTAATTATTCGAATCCTTATCATAAATAAAAAAGAAAGAGAAAGAAAAGTCATGAGTGGCACATTAGAATTGGAACAAGGCCCAACAGAGAGAATTCCCATCCTCGAGCCTGATTGGCGAAAATGCAACTATTCTGCTGTTTCCACTATTATGAAATGGGAGGAAAAGGACTATTTATATGGGAAACGAAACGGAACCATCATATCCAAAGAGGCTCTAAAGCGTTTTCAATCAATACAGCAGTAGGAGAAGAAAGAAGATACTTACAAGACAGTTCGCCTTATACTCAGGGCCCAAAATAGGCTTGAACTCTTCAAGGTAAGCATTGAGACCACATGAAACTAATGCACTATGAACTGTACCATCTCCAACATGCAACAAGCCAGCCTCTCTGCAGAGATCTACCAGCTTCATCTGTTAGGTTGGGAAGTCATTTTTCACAGTTGACATAAGCTGATTCTTCTCATCTTCGGTCAAGGCCTCTGGCCACCCAGGAGGTATATCAGGATTCAAACATTTAGCTTCAATCAACTTCAGCATTGAGAGCGGCTTCTCTAAGGTTGCAGCCTCAATGAGTCAGACATTCTGAGCATTGTCTATAGTACCACCATATGTCATTTGAGGTCAAGATAGAAATACCAGTAAGTTCTCTAATTTTTTGAAAAGTTACCAGTTTGAGGAGGTACTGAAGTGTTATGATTGCTGCCCTTTAGCGTGGAGTGATCTCCTTTCCTAAACTCTATAAGTATTCAATTAAAGTGTATCTTGAGTGATATATTAACTTACCTCATTTTCTCACTGCACATGTCATTGATTTGCCCATTGGGGTTGAATAGTGATACCAGTAATATCTTAGTCAATTAGCTAAATAGGCATATTGTCTTGGCATCTTGGCGCCAAGCCCCCATTCCACATTTCCGGATACTTTCGGAATGGGCAATTAGGCGTGTCCGACATTTGGAACTACTCGCTGTTACACAACTGCCGCCGGAACCTTGGCACATTATGTAAAAATCCCCACCGCAACGCAACTCGCCAATGAGGGAAGGTAGTACCATAAAAGAAACCCAAGCCAAGCAATTGGAAAGAACAATGGAAAGAAAAAATATACTCCGGCTCCAGCAGGTGTCCTCTTCCAATAAGGTCGTGATAAACTCTCACTGGCGCATACGATATCCCCAATCCAATACCCTTGTTCCATCATACCACCCCCGACAAGGAATAACGCACCAAATCCGGGGAGTAAGTCGAGGAAGGCCGAGGCAAAAACTTTAGGGTACGATATTAACCGATGCACCATCGCACCCTGGGAAGAAGAGGTGGGTGGGGAGGACGATGAAGTTAAGCCTAGCCTAGCCTAGCCTAACCTGGTCTATTTATCTCTACCCATTTATCTCCCTTTCACATTCATCCCTCAAACTCAGCGCCTGGTGCCCGAGCATCACTGACAGACCCACTCGCGGAACACCGCATGCATCCCCCCCAGACCAGTGCTAGAGTTGCTCGTATCGGGCACCAGGAGCAAGAGGGGTGAAAGGAAGGGAAGGAGGCGAATCGAGGTGAACCAACAGGAAGACTCCTGACGAACTCCTTCCTTCCCTTCCTTCCTTCCTTCCCCTCCCCAAGGAACCTATCATAAAGTATTAGCTACCTGATGATGCATCGTAAAACTAATACAGCGTATCAACACCGACCCCGGTTCCCTCCTCCCAGTAAAGTTATGATAGTACCACAAGTAACGTATTTGACCGGAATTAGGTCTGGCGGGGGAGTGAACCAGCTAAAATCCACCACGAAAGTGAAAAGTGGAAATTTGGAAATCCCAAATGATGTCCAACACTTGGAAGATGGGGGTTTCAGAGAGAGGGTATAGTATGAGATACCGTACCCCCCTCCCCCTCCGCGCCCCGATAGCAACGTATGCTAGATCCAGCCCTTTTTTTTCTGCTGAATTCGGAGGTTCGGTTTTGTCGGAAAATTCTACATGTACAACATCCCACAACCCATCGCGCCATCGAACATCAAACATTAAATTAAACATCAAACATCGAAGCCTTGGACGAAAGAAGGAGAAAGGAAAGGGAAACTCAAGGCGGTTGCAGATCGGCATCGGTCCCCTCATCCCACCCGATCCCATCTCATCCCATCCCACTCCGCCCCAACGGAATCTCGGCCCTAACCAACTTGCACAGAACGTGCTGTTTACTACCCTAACCCAGCACCGGAATGCCGCGCAGCGCAACGCAATTCGAATGCCCGGTCCAGTATCACAGAGTTTGGCAAACAGGAAGGTGGGGGGGGAGAGGGCTTGTCATTTTTGGAAAGTGAAGTAAGTTGAGAGGTGCAAAATATGTTTATCGGTATACCGGTTTGCATACTACCGTATACTTGTGAATTATACACAACTAAAAGTGTTGAAAAAAAGAAAAAGATTTTTTTTTTGGGTGGGCGTTGCATGGTATGATAACTTTCATGGCTGGCTGTCTGGGGAAGGGGCGCCATGGATGGATGACCCGCAGGATTTGGGGTAGGTTGAGTCGAGGCCATCATTTGGCATCAAAATTGAGGAAGGAAGGAAGGAAACGACCACACACCAGTGACACCACCACACGAGTAGGATAGACGATTAAATTTACCCTACTCGTACAGCCCACCATCATCGATTCCGAGTGCGGTATGATATGATACATGCTGTAGAATACCATCAACATGGGTAGGGTAAGGTACATGAAACTTCCATGACTCCATGATACCCTGATGGGTTAACTTATGATACCTATCGCATGATACGAGGAACACCCCACCGCAAGCCCCACCCATCACCACCGCCTAGCACAGGCTGATAACAAAAAACCTCCCAGTCCACACAACCCATCATCCCATCAATCTCACCCCACCCTTACCACCAGCCACACACACACCCAGCCAAACAAGGCAGAAAGTCAAAGCAGCAGAGCCTCACCATACCAACCAACCGATAAACGACCCCAACGCCACTACAACCGTTGCTTGCTCGGCTCGTTCACTTCGAAAGTATGGAAGCCCGCTAGAAGGTGCTACCCACACACTACCCTAAAAAAGGTGGTACTCTACAGTGGAGTACCGCACTCGTACAGTATGATACAGTGACTTGGGACCAAACGAGCACCATAATCAGCTAGAAGCCACGGTATTAAAAAAAGCAACACAAGTTCTCACAATTGCCAGATATCATACAGTACTAAAAGTTAAAAGAAAAAGAAAAAGAAAAAAAAAAAGACATTTTCATAAGGGTAAGAGCGGGTCAGAAACGAAAGGAGTGGAGGTGCGCAGGTCAAGGTAAGGTACAAGCACTAGCTAGCAGGAGGTAAGGGGCAGAGGTGATTATTCCAGGAAGAGACAGGATTTGCACCACCAAAGTATGACACGATGGAGTAAATTATACACGAATGAAGGGAAGAAAGAGAGAAAGGCAAGAAGGAGTCCGACCAAACAACTAGTCTAACAGAAAAAAGAAGAAAAAACAGGGAGAGAAAAACCAGACCAACTCACACACATTTACATACATAACTTATCATACATTCTCATACCCACCCCCATGATTTGCGCAGGGCTCGAACTTCACTTCGCCAATTATTGCAAGCACGAGTAGTGTACTTGAGTACAGTATAGTTTCGTACTCTATCTAATTTACCTGCAGTCTACCTGTTTACCAACTCTCACCACCTCCCCCAAAAATAGGGAGGAAGAGGGGGGGGAGTGCGTGCGTGCGTGCCTTCAAACGGTTTCGCTCGTCGATGCATGCATGTCTTTCCTAACCCAATCCCATCTACTCTGCAGGCAATCGAACATCGAAAACATTTCACACACTTCATGGCACGAGTACTCGAGTACTAGCTCACGCGCCCGCGGAACCAAGAACGAGATACAGGAAATGAGGATACAGTATATAATTTTGTTTACGAGTTCCCTATCATAGGAGGGGGTTGTTTTTTTTATTTACTCAATTACTATACAAATCTGACAAGTGTTAACAAATTAAGGACAAGGAATGGAGCACACGAGCAAACCCAGAAGAGGTTAAAAAAAGTAAAGGAAAAAAGAAAAACAGCTGGAGAATCGGGGGGGGGGAACATTGTGGCGAAGAAGAAAAAAAGAAAGAAATACTAAAAAAAGTGGACAAAAACTAAATACGGGAGAAGCAAGGAAACAAAAGAGCAAGCCCTTGGGTAATAACAGAGCCCTTTTTACTTTCCCCTCTTCCCCTTACTCTCTCTCTCTCTTCCCGCCCGAAGAAATGCAACCCAACCGAATCTAAAAAGTAAAAACGGAAAACCCCCATAAGGCCCAAAGGCGAGATCTATGTTTGGCAACCCCCATAGAACATGTTTTTGTACGAAGGAAGAAAAAAAGAGGGGGAAATGGTAGCCGGATAAAAATGAACAGTGAAACAAAAAAGTCGTGAAAACACAACCCGCTGGGTCACCGGCGAGGAGCCATGCTTCCCAGAAAATAGGAACAAAAACGAACAAAATCAGATATCCCCTCAATAATGCTATTTGTACGAAGAATGGCGAGGATGGAGGGTCCCCGAGAAATAATAAACAGTAGAAAGTGGACGCGGTGAGGGCGAAAGAAGAACCCCCCCCGTTCCAAGATATGAAAGAAAAAGGAAAATGTCATGACACATGCGTCATTCGGCCTTCCAAGCAATATGTATAGAGGAAGTCGCTCAACTGGCATTAAGGCTGTGCTGGCTGTACGACTGAGCCGTTGCTGCGACATCTGCATCGGCATCCGTGTCCGCATCTCCCTCCCCGTTATTTGCAGTCTGGATTGGCGCCTGGCGTTGGGCAGCATACATAGACTGGGGGTATCCCGACTGAGCATATCCTGGGTATACCTGCTGTTGCTGGGAGTATTGTGGCATTGATTCCATGGCGGCAGTAGGAGCCGCAGGGTAATGGACGTTGGCGGAAACGGGAGCACTTGCGTATGGAAGGGGAGGCGGAAGTTGGCGAGGAGGGATAGACGTGTATTGCGCACTCGACACGGGTACAGCTGCTGGCGTCTGGTTCTGAACTTCACTAGGCTGGCCACCCTCGGCACTTGACCTACGCGTTTCCTCCTCGACTGCCTTTCTCTCCGCCTCTTCCTGCTTTTTGCGGGCCTTCCATTCCTTCCGAATCTCCTTAAACTCTATTCACGTGATCGCGTTAGTAAATGATGAAAGTACGCGTCAATAAAAATCGAAAGCTATTATAGACCATATTCATATCAACCCTCAAAGGGAATCAATCGGATATATATCACCGAGTTCCCTAGTGGAGTTGGGATGAATGGCGGAGCAAGAGTGGAGAAAAACGCAGAAAACCTAGTGCGCAACAAACCTTCTGGGGTACGTTTGATTCCATGACTCTGCATTGTCACATGCGCATTCAAATGGTTAAGTGTCCCGTAAGCCTTCTCGCAACCATGCCACCCACACTTGTACATTCGCTCGATTTCCTCATAACGTCTGCGCGGCCGTTTATGTTGTTGGGCGCCCGGGATAGGTACAAAGGAGTAAACCTGCGATAGTGGATGTTGGGGCTGTTGATCGGAGATGCGTTTTCGGTTTGGATTTCTATTGTTGTTACGCACTGGTCCAGCCGGACTAGGGACACCCCCGGGCCCTCCAGGATGCGTGCTATACGCCATGTGAGGTTGCGAATACCCTTGAGGCGGCCAATCCGGACGCCAACCGGAAGCAGAGGTCGCGGGGTGTGGATGAGTGTATGATTCCGACATCGTACCTGTCGGTGGATACGAATGGTATTGAGCTGGTTGGGAAGAAGGGTAGGCTGGGCTCGAGACACTCGTACTGGGATCTTCAGAAGATTCAGGATCGGGCTTCACTGGACGTTGAAGGCTTTGTGCCAATGGTGGGAGAGGGGAGAAGTTAGAATGAGATGCGTGACTCATACCTCCACTGCTACCTGTACCGGCACTGCTAGAGGGATAACGTGGAGCGCCTTCGTAACGAGAGGCGCCTAAGTTATATTCTGGTTGAAAGTTTGGAGCTCGAGCAGTTGAATTATTTGTGCCACCGTATTCGGAGGATGGAGTGGCCGAGGAAGAATAGGCGATGGAACGATCCTGAGATGATGATTGATAATTCGTAGACTGCTCGTTGGCTTGTGATTCGGTTTGATTGTTGGAAAATTGAGAATAAGAAGTTGATGATGGCAAACCAGATTGTGCGTATTCGGATGAGCCTCTATCCATAGAGTGGGTGGTCGTTGGGTACTGAAAATCGACTCGTGCGACGGAGTGCTGCTGATGATGAACCGGATGCACGCTGAACGCAAGGGACATGCTACGTTCCTTGATGAACACGGGCCCAAAGATGTCTAAGCAGCAGAGGTTGTTGGCTCAATTGGCCAGGTTTCTTCCGCAAATAAACTGCAAACTTGTAAGAAACTCAAGTACTAGCAGTGGTACGAAGCGGGGTGCAACAATAGTGGCGTGGACTGGGATGTGTGTGCTCTAAAAAGTAGGACGGGGAGTGTGAGGGAGAAGGGTAATAATGGTAGCGGGATGTGGGATGAAAGACCAAGTTCAGGTCGAGAGAACGTGCCTTGGGAAAGGAAAGAAGCATATAGTGGATGTGTGGACAAGCAGTAAAGGCGGGGCGGCGAATAGCGGCAGCAGAGCACAAAAAAGATGGTGTGTGAGTGAAGCAGCAAAGCAGTAGACTTGACGGGACACGGCAAGGAGTGAAGGGGTCGAGGAAACCGTTTTTTAAGCGGACGGGGATGGTGGATGCTATAACGGTATGGGCAAGTAGGGTAAGGTTTGGGGGTTTTAGAGTGGGATGAGATGAAGAGGGGGAGGTGAAGAGGGGAGGGAGAGACGAATGAACGTGTTTCGCAGTCTCAATAAGATTTTTTTTTTTTATCGAGACTGCCAGGCCTTCACCAAGTTACTTCACTAGTACCTTTTGTCTAATTCCCTTGGCCCACCCACAGCACAAAGTCCCAGTGCTCCGTCAGAAGGAAAACGGAAAGGAAAGGAAAAAAGAACAAGCCGGTGCTAGTCAGTGCTGTCAATGACTAGTGGAGGGCGGCGAACTGGGTCTGGAATAATGACGGAGTCGGAGCAATACCGGTAGAAGAAAAAGGGAGGGGCGGCGGTGCGAGGTGGTGGGCAGTGGGGGGTGTGGTTAGGGGTGAAGGTACACCGGGTGACAACACTGTAGCCTCTCCCTGCTGCCACTACGGCTGGTTGGGCTGGCGGGGATGGGATGGAGGGGGGGGGTTAAAGGATACCCGGAGTGGAGAACCCGCCAGATGGTGCGAGGAGCGGAGGAGCGGAGAAAGGGAGAGAGGGGGAAGAAAGGGAAAGGGAAGAAAGGAGAGGAAGGGAGGGGAGAGAGGAGGGAGAGAAGGAAAAGAGAAGAGGGAGGGGTTGGGAGGAGAGAGAAGGAAGATGTAGCGGAAGGAGAGGAGGGAGAGGTGAAGGGGGAGAGAGAGAGAGAGAGAGAGGAAAGAGAGGAAAGAGACAAGCAAGCCCCCTCTCTCGTCTCCACAGAGATAGATGTCGTCGACAATCAGAAGGGAGACCAAGTCACTCCTTTCAGAGGGGGGAAGTAGAGAGTGTAAGAGCAGAAGACTTGTCTGCAAGACAAAAAGTATGGGATGGATCAGGTGTAGTATGTGTGGGTGGCAGCCAGCCAGGGATTATTTTATTTTATTTTATTTTTGAAGTGCAGCTCGGAGCATGCCTGGGCAGCTCTGGGTGGGAGGGGCCTGCCGTTTTCTGATTGGGGACGGTGATTCCCACTTCCTTATGCAGCACAACGGCTTGCCCAAAGGCCTCTCTCTCCTCTCTCTCTCTCTCTCTCTCCCTGTTGAGCTGCTCGAGTACCGTATTTGCTGATATCCAACAAAAATAAAAAGCAAAAAAAATCATAACATTATTGCTGTAAATCTCACCACTAAGGATGAATCAAATCACAGCGTTCAAACCCGGAGGTGTTAGGAAGGGGCAATGAATCTCTCCTTCTAGATGGCGGATGGTGAAGGCAAAAATACATAAATAATAACAATAATAAAAGTGAGATAAATTTATACAGTAGGACTGCGATGATGCTCGTGGGGATCAATCGACGATACTCGAGTACGGTACTGTACCGTACACACCACCACTCAAAGCGGAGAAGGGCTCAGCGAGCACAGCTGGCAAAAAAATATTGTATTCAAGGAAGCTCAGAGCGAGCGACTGTCGCGGACTAAACTACAAATCGAATCGTGGGCGCATTCGATAAAGGCCTCCCATCCATAGTGTCAATTGTAGTGAGGATAAGGTTCAATCTCAGGAACCAAATGCAAGATACCAGTACTTTATTCACTAGTACAATTTCCAAACACTTGGAGCACATAACAACGCGAGCCCAGGAGCGTTCGTCGGTAACGAACAGCAGCGGAAAAGAAAAAAAATCCCAATCATGATAATTCACCCAAAGACCTATGGTATGATAATACCATAACAGGTATTCAATCCGGGATAATCGGTAATGAATGTGAGAATCGAGGATCTGGCAGTCAACCCCCCCTCCCTCCCCCCCCCCGCTTCCGTTTTCCCCTCCCCCTTCCCCCCGACGGTACCACAACCAAGCAAATTCCGGTTACCGAAGAAAAGAGGAGGAAAGAGAGAGAGAGAGACCATCCATGAGAATGAGAGGAAAGGAAGGAAGGGAAGGAAGGGAAGGAGAGAAAGAAAAGCACGGCTGCATTACATATCACACGTGACACGGCGATATCGAATCGAATTGAATAATTCCGTGGTGTCCGGAAGGGCATGACAACAGTGCGGTGCACGATAGTCACACACACAGCCCCAGCAGATTATGAAGATGAACTTCTCCTGCTCGAACAGTCGAATATAGGCGACACAACGCAGCCCGGGGAAGGATCCATTGGCCAGAGAGGACCCCCAGCGCGACCAGTTGAAATAGCAAGGGTGCACGTTGTGTGATGTGGGTAACATGTGTGGGATGTGGGTGGTGGTGGGTAACAGGCGCGGCTTGGTTGCCTGCAGTCAACCACTTCCTAACTCAATTGTGGGATGACGACGATGGCGAGCAGAGAGAAGCAGAAACCGCGTTGCGCTGTCTGAAGAGGAAATACATTGCGGGAAAATGGAAATGAAGGGAAAGAGAGGCAGAAGAGGACACGATGGAGGCGAAGAGAAATCAAAGACCCCCTCTCAAAGCGCTCGTAATGCGAAGGCGAAAAGGATAAAATAGTCACAAGATAAAAATACATTTAATGTAATCAATCATCATCATCATCATCATCATCATCATCATCGGTTACCCAAACCTCGGAGGATGGGTGGGCGCTGGATGGGGGATGAAGAATCGCCGCAGCTCGCACCGCACAGCTGAAGTGATCATAGGAATGGAAACTCTATCACAAAAACTGGGTAAATATTCTAGAAATCGAAATTTGAAGGTTAGGCAGATGATGATATAATGCGATAGTAAGAATAATCCTGATTGCACAATAATTCCCTAGGCAGTGGACTCTGCTCACTCACTCACTACCCACACCACCACCACCACCACCTCCTCCTCCTCCATCACGAGCAGCGCGGAATAAAGAAGGAAGAAAGAAAAAGAAAAAGGAAAAGAAAAGAAAAGCACCACCCCCATCGACCCATCAGAAATTATCTCCCCCATCCATACGGTAGTCTCACTCATACAGTCTCGCTCGGTCGCTCCCTCCCTCCCTCGCCCACTCACTTTTCTTCGGGAGACACCCTACGAATCGCGGTACGAGTACGGCCGAAGTACCGATACGGACGTAACCATGAATCCTTCACCCGACCCGACTCAGCAAGAAGCGAAACCCCAAAACTCTCCATTAGGAAATGGAAATGGAAAACCTGGAGATGAGGGGAAGGCAACAAGTGGCCTAGCCACCACTGTCAACCACACGAGAAGATGGAGAGAGAGAAAGAAGGGATTTAAAAATAAACTCTTAAAAAAAAAAAAAAAAAAAAAAGTAAAAAAGTAAAAACCAGTACCGGGCGTGGAACTGCTCGAGCGGAGCACCGTATAATAATGATTCAATGCGGTACTCATACCGGCATACGAGATGACAAACAGTCGCACAAAACGAGACAAAAACCCAGAAGTGAAGCGAGTGAGAAAAGGGCGAGTGAGAGAAACAGCATCGATAGATTAAATTGAGCGGGTCACCGGTATGGTGCCGGGGGACCGAGAACCAGTGCGCTGGTTACAAACTTTTTTCCCACATTTTTGACCGCTTCTCGCTGCTCCCACCCTACCCAACCACCCTGGTGCCTGGCTCTTCGTCGTTATTATCGCTTCCAATGTACCGAAACCCTCATCATGAGAGAGAACTCGCGAGAGGGCCCGTTAGAAGGGAGGGGTACAATATGCGTAACGGTACTACTGTACGAGTACCGGAAGTCTCGAACTCTTTCCACTTCCCAGCTGGGGGGGAAAGGAAAAACAAAACATAGAGAGAGAGAGAGAGAGAGAGCGAGCGAGCGAAAGAAACTCAAAATCGTTTGGAGTGACAAATATTTCCAAAAAGAAAAGAGAAAAGAAAAGAAAAAAGAAAAAAGAAAAAAAAAAAAAGGGAAAAGGGAAAAGGGAAAACTCCGGGGTTGGTTAGTTGGGGATAATAATTCCAAAAGGGGAATATGAGGTGTTCTGGATGTTATCTTTTTCGCTACTTTTAGAGAGCATTGACTCTCGGAAATTTAAATTATCCGGCTCACTTGAAGATACCGGTATCATACAGTACAGGGTGCCATAGGATGGGATAGCATCTTTTTTCTTCCTCTTGGTAGCAAAGCTCCCATCCTGTGGCTTCCGTTCCGCTCTCGAGTGCGGTACAGGTATGATCATATATATGCTTCCCAACCCGACGGCTTTTGCCAGTACTCGTACTGTACCGTGCTCGTTCTCATACCATTTAGAAACCCCAGCACCGCCACTCAGGCAATTGTTCATTCATGATATCTCGCATAGGTATCATTCAAGTAAACATGAAACTCAACGCCGGAAGAGTACCGCACTATCCAGCAGATGGGCACCGGTACTGGTTAGCGTGGTCGAGTCGGAGTTGAGCCCTCTGTGTCGGAATTGACGCTATCGATCATGTATGAAATTATACTCGAGTAGTAGTAGTACTACGGTATTTATGATCTTCCTCAACTTCACCACTTGACTATACGACTGCTTCTTCCTCCCACTCTCCTCCCTTCCTCTACCTGTTCATCAATCCCCTCTGACCACCTATTGCGATCACCGGTATGATAAGTCTACGGTACTCGAGTACCCACTCACTCATCCATACACCAGACCCACACCCACACATTAACCCGGGAACAAATCAAAACACCTCAGATCACATCACGGTAACAAAGGGAGGCAAAGGCACGAAGAAATTTTTTTTAATTAACAAATAAATAACGGGAATTCAGAAATGGCAACCGGAGAAATTCTCTCCCTCTCTCCTCCCCCTTTCTCACCTCCACCCACACACATACCGGTACATATACGTTGCCGGTACCGGTATCCCGCTGCTTTTATTTGTACGTACGGTGGAAAAAAAAAAAAAAAAACTCCCTATTCAAGCAGCGCGATGCGAGGATAGAGGATAGAAGAGCGGTGGCGGTAGACGGGTGTCGATTGATTGCGAGATTGCCTCGAAGCGATTGATTACTGTGTGTAAAAAGATGTGAGCACAGGCTCGATCGGCAGACAGATGAAAGTCATATCATTCGTTCCCACATATTCGAAGGCGGCCATCAAGTCTCCTTCACCCACACATACACCCACCCTTTCCCTCGGCCGGACGTGTCGTGACTCGTGAGCATGGCATGGCAAGGCTGGCAAGGCATGGCACGTCCGAAGAGCACGTGCAAACTCGGGAAGCCCACCAGGTAAATGGATGAATGATGAATCAGTGAAAAAGTGAAAAAGAAAAAGAAAAAAGAAAAAAGAAAAAAGAGGGAGGAAAGAAAAGAAGAAAAAGAAAAGAAAAAGACCGAATTAATGGTAGCCGCCACCACCATTCACCACGTTCCTCCCACCTCACCCCCGAGTGGCACGTGCGTACCCTCACCGCACCAATCACCGCCGCCAAAAACAAATTACTTTTATTCACGATGTTTTGAATGAATGGTTTGAAGAAAGGGGTATAAAAAGTAAAGAAAAGCCCATGCACGCACACACCACCACCATCCCAAAAACCCCGTTTAAATAAACTCAACGCCGCAAGCAAGCATCACGCCCATGATGAATATTCCAACGCTCAAGCATAAATTGAAAAATGAGGGATGAAAAAAGTGAGGGGAAAAAGATGAAAAAAAGGAAAGCAAACACTTGTGCTCGAGCACTGTACCGTACTCGTACAAGTACCGTACCAGCACTATCCTGCCGGGATCAACTTGGTTGGTAGGAAATTAAACAACATATTTCATATTACTCGTACAATAAGTTAGCTAGCAATAGCTTTGGCCGGCTGTCTCGCGTTGGTACCGGTTTACAAGTTATCGGTGGGAAATCGTCCACGTGTAGAACAAGTCTAACTCACGTAACCTATTCCGGAACAGAAGTGAAAGCGTTTGTGTGTGTGTGACCGAGAGACTGGGAAGGGTTCGTAAGAGGTAGATAAAAAGGATCACAATAATAATAAGAAGATAAAAAATCCCCCCAAAACAGGGTCGACAAGTTTGTCCCAGAGCCGTGGGTTTGGACAATTGGATGGTGGGAGAGGGGGAATGTGTGTGGGGAGGGGAGGGGAGGGGGAGTGGTGGGAAGTGATTTTTATTATTTTTATCGTTAAAATTTTGCTTTGCTCTGCATTGTTTTGAGAGAATATCTTTCACGGCTACCGGTACCAGAACTAATACGAGTAGAACTACTACTCTACCGGTAGAGTATAAGCACTTATGCCACTTTACAAGTACCATGATGGTATCACAGAGGATACGATGATTGTGTCGAGATATCGTATATATGAGGAAAAGCCCCCAAGCAGGAGAGTGGAGGGAACAACCGAATCAATAAATAAAAATAACTCTGGGATAGAGGAGAGGAAAGGTACTCGGGTAGAGCAGAAGCAGGTAGACAGGACAGAAACAATTCCATTGAATATTCCACATGGCGTCGCCTAGATTTTGCCTACGGTACGGGCACATGCTATTCGAGTACGAGTACAGTATGCTGAATTTCTAAGTGCTCCCATCTTGAGGCCTTTTATCTTTCGAAGGAAAAAAAAGGCCCTAATTTGTCCATCTATCCGTCTAATGGGTAAATTTATGGGTATGATACCACTTTGTATTCGATGTACCGTACTGTAAGGGATGGAAGGATGGGCTTTGTACTCGTACTTGTACTCGAGTACCGTACAGTATGGTACGAGTACCTGTAGACGGAAGGGGTACAACACAATTGGAAAAAGGAAAAAAGAAAGGAAAAGAAAAATATGCTCATTGCTGCGTTCTACTGTACTCGAGTAGAGAGGTTCGGTAGGGATCCGAAGAAGTGTTCGCGAAGCAATTTCTTGTGTAAGGTTGGAAAGGTTGGGCGAGTGAAGGATACAATACAGTACCGGTACTGGAACTCGAGTACTCGTACCGGACCGTACTGTGCTTGTGAAACATATCTTTTCGCAAAAGCCGGAATAACCCTAAGGAGGGTCAGCCAAATTGCCTTTTATCGACCATCCTTGTTTTAAAGTGTGGCGGTTTGGGGTCTTCCTGGCCTCCCTGGTTGGCTCGGCTCGCCTCTAGCTCCAACTCTGCTTGCTCTGCTCGGGTGCTCGGTGAACCGTGGCGGTGGTGATGGTGGAGTGGGAGGAGAGGGGACTGGAGGGAGGAGGGAGGAGGGAGGAGTGGTCCTGCTGCTCGTGCTGCCTGTGATTGATGGATGAAGAGAGAGAGAGTAGGGGGGTTGGGAATGGCTTTGATTGCGTTACGCGGTGATGGCCCGATTCATGGCATGGTTATTTGGGCGGCTAGAATGCCGCTAGAATTGCCAGATGCGGGGATTCCCACCAGCGAGGAACCCCCAGAAACGAGAGACACCGAGAACCACATCGGATTTTTGATTTTTTTTCCACAAGTATCATAATATCACACAAGGTCATTTCTTTCCATTCTTACTTTTTTTTCCCCTTACCCTACTGGGTCCGGTACTGTACCGTATCATGTCTGTTCTCTTCACTTTGTTTCTCCCACATACGGCAATGCCCCTTACAAAAAAGACAAAACAACACAGATTCTGATTATAAAAAAGGGAACAATGTCACGAACCCGGAAACAAAATGGAAAGGGTGATGGGCGGGGCGGCGGTGGAGGTCAGTTATGCTACAAAAAGTAAAGAAAGGAAGAAAGAAAGGAAGAAAGAGAGAGGAAGGTCACCCACAGGGTGGTCAAGCCACAGTTGCGAAATTTATCCATCAAGCCTTCCTCCAGCAACGGGTCGGAGGCTACACCTGTCTCTTTTGGGATTCTAGCCCAGGGATCCCCCCCCCTAATTCCGAGATCCGGTCTCATTGCCGATATTTCTTTCGACACAGTATGACGCCGTGTGTCATGAGAATGGGAAGGGAAAAAAAAAAAGTCAAGGCACTCCGTGGAATGAAAGTATAAATATAAATAAAACAAAATACAGTAAGTAATTGGGAGAAAATAATAATAATTTCGTTCACAAGGACACAAATGATTGGAGAGTGAGGGGATTTTAGCCACAAAGTATACAGGCATCGCACGGGGCGCAATTGATGTATGTGCGTTGTTGTGTGGTGACGGTGGTGGTGACGGTGGTGGTGACGGTGGTGGTGGTGGACACGCCGTGGGAAGTGTGGAATTGTAACCAAGTCATCCTGTGAGTTGTGCGCTATGCTCGTTGCATCGGCTGGACAAGAGAATACAAGTGGTTGTCGTGTGAGACTGGATGGGATGAATGAAAGGGGAGGAGGAATAAAGAAAGTTCTTGTTCATGTGTGGTATCCTATCACCTTGACCAGAGGAGAGGGGAAGTGAAAGTGACAGATGCAATGAGTGCCGACATCTCTAATCTTTGCTTCGTAAATTATACGACGATACCATTGGCTTCACTCCAGATCATTCATTACCTTGCTCACATCCCATCGTATCCTAACCCTCTAATACTTACGCGCTCGGTGTGATATGTATCGTACTGTATGAGTGAGTGCGCACAATTGCGGTCACGGACATGCCATCGATTCCCGAAGATTATCCAATCTCTACGTATCATCCATCAACACCCGTTGTCGCCGCTTTTATTCCCTTTCATAATATTATCATGTACCACAACATCATCATTATTATCGCCATTCATCATATGTACAAACCAAGGCAAATTAAAGAGAGGAAAAAAAGGTAAAAAAAGGTAAAAAATAGAGAAATCCAACAGGAGAGGAAAGACGGAAAGGACAGAGAAGCTGTGGACGGGCCTTACGGCTTCCCGGATTCAGGCATGGAATAGGGAGAATAACGTTTGCGAGAGGCGTCGGGGACCTCATCCCCTTCTTCTCCATACCGGTACAGTACTTTGCGGTACGATACTCGAGTACTCCTCCGCTGATATTGTGAGGTTGCTCCACCTTGATCTGGCCAAGACGGTGCGAAGACCACAATCCCCCCACCAAGAAGTCTGCCGAGCAAAGAAAGAAAAGAGAAGAAAAGAAAAGAAAATGCCCGCCACGTCCACGCCCTTACCTACCGGTACCTTATGCCTCACAAAATGAATTGATCCCTCCAAGCGAAAAGAATAACAGTGATTAAAGATCAAACCAAAAATCAAGCAGGACCGAAAAGATGGAATGGGAAATAAAAATACAAAGACAGGGTAATTACCATCAGAACGGACTTCGTCCCCGTCAGGGCATGTAGAAGAGGATGTCGGATAATAGGAGGATGAAAGAAGGGAAGGGAAGGAGATAAAGGAAGGATGAAAGATTGAAAGGAAAGAATAAGGGAGACAATGAATGGATGAACTTACCGTAGATGTACGACACCGGCACCGCCGCCTCACTCCCCTAGGCAGACTAGAGAAGAAGGCAGCAACGATGGAAGGAAGAAAAGGAGAGAACAGGTTTGTGATGCGATGTGAATTACTTTGTACTCGAGTACCGTATTGCTCGAGCAGAGTGCGACTCGAATAGTACGGTACCGGCGGCGTGTATGATATGGTGTGTGCGGGTGATACCTACTCGAGTACAGTGACTCACAAAGGAGGGGGCTCAGCGAATAGACCAAACAAAATCGACGTTTGCCAAGAGACTTCTAGTATATTCTTCGTTGAGCCCATGTTATCGTATGTTAAGGCTCCGTTCGGTTAACTATTGACCGTTGACCTGCCGTTCCAGACATGACCGTTCCCAGCTGGGAACGGTTGCTTGAGATTTGGTCCATCTGAAGGAAAGCTGTTCGGTTAAGTTGACCACACAACCGACCGTTCCTTAGTCAACCTTGAAAAGTTTTCACTGAACCTTTTTTGCACAAACTCCCGATCGTAGAGCGATCTTCCACCCTCAACAGAATCCATTACTATGCCACGAAAGCGAAAGAACATGAGTGCAGAGGAAGCCCGTCCTGCTCCTAGTACCCAGCCCTCTGGTCCTACAGGACCCGTAACTTGGTCTACCTCATCTGCCTTCCTCCCGTCCGGTAATGCGAATCCTTTTCCCCTAGCAGCGGGTTCCACAAGGCTTGATGATACAGGGGGGAGAGGTACCAGTAAGATGGAGCTATTTTCAGCTCTTAGTTCACAAGCTTCTGGTTCAGGTACTCCTCTCACTCCTCCGGCTATTGCCCCAGCTCTGGTATCCCAGGTAGCAACCATCAAGAAAGTGCGGGGAAAGCCTGTCATCTGGACTCCGGAGATGACACAGGTGATGGTACGAGAGGTTGTACAGCAAATTCACGTATGGAAAGCGTTCGGATAATGGATTTAAAGCTGAGGTCTGGAGGGAGATTTGTGGAGTGGTAGTTAGGATGGGTGGAGGACCACTTGATTCGCTTACTGGAGAGAAGTGTCAGTTCAAACTTGAAAATGTACCTACCCTGTATATGATGCTACTAGTTGACTGCTAACCATAGTACTTTATAGTTGAAAAAAAAGTATGGCATATGGACCCGTTTACGAAAAATGAGTGGGTGGGGATGCGATCCGATAAGTGGTGCTCTAACCGCACCGGAGGAAGTTTGGAATATAGAGATTGCGGTATGAGAAATCTAGTAGATATAAGTGATTGGAATGTTTTAACTAATATATAGTTTTCTTACGGACATGTCCAGCAGTGAGGGAATTTAGGTATACACCATTGGTAAACTGTTTTGAGCTTGCGCAGATTTTTGAAGGAGTATCAGCGAGTGGGGATCATGCATTTTATCCAAGCAGAATTGGTAGCTCCATTCGTACAACTCTGAGTCGGCTGCCTAGTCAATACCTTCCACCCGAGCCATCAAACCCTGATTTTGAGCCGTGATACTACTTCAGTATCCCCTTCTTCAGCGGTCAGCAATACACATATTGTTAAAAAGAGGAATAGAAAATCAGCACCGTCGTTGACCGATAAAATGTCTGCTGCTCTTAACATAATTCTTCAACCTGAACCAGAGTCAGACCTACCGGGTAGCAGTAGTGTCTCTGTGATTACTGGTTCAATGAAAAAGCTACAGGAGGGGTATAAAAATAAGGATGGATGGACGATGGAAGATCTACAACTTGCATATGAGATACTTGAGAATCCTGTTAAGGCAGAAGTGTTTTTGGCTCTAATAAGCCCGGAGGATCAAGAGCTACGGCTTCGTCGTTAATTGAATCGATTTCAATCTACTCTCTGAATATTCCATTTCTTCTTTCCATGTATGTTACATAGTCATCCCACATCTCAGTGGCCATTTTCTCTCGCAATTCCACCATATTTCTATCCTCCATTTGTGCCTCCTCCCAACTTGCATTTCCATTTTGATTAAACCGTTGGAGGGCTAAGCGAGGCGGCACCCTCAGCGAGGCATGGTAAAACTTGGCATTTGTAAAATATATAGTAAAGTAGATAGTGTCATCAAAAATTGAGTAAGCCAGAACCTACCCTTCCTTCCCAGCGGTTCAGTACAGCAATCATGAGTTCAGAAAATAGTGA